AAATCCAGTTCTGTATTTGTGCTGTTGAACTTTCTAGTTTACAACAGAGCAATCCCCTTTGTGTATGAAAATACATGTCGTGTCTTCTATTGAAGGCTAATACTATAGTTTTCTGGGGCCAGGAGCAAGATCTGCCATGAAGGCACCTCTTCCCCATGTTCCCTGGGAGAACAGGAGAAGAGGAAGAGTAGGAACAAAGCCTGGATAACTGTTCACAGCTAGTCTCAAACTGGAGGCACTTCCCTTTGGAAACCGTAGGTGGCAGGTTGAAGCAGGGAAGATTTGTGGTTGAAGGAGAAGCAGCATAGAATCATTTAGGTTGGAAAAGCCCGTTAAGATCATCAAGTCCAACCATAACACTGCCACGTCCACCACTTGAAGATGGTATAGAAAAATACCTGGAGGGACAAATTCTAGAAATTAAATACAACCAACCACAAAAATCTCAATCAGCTGCATTTGCTTTGCAGCTGGAGTATGTTGGTACTTGCCTGTGTCCCAGCAGAGAAATAGGTGGATAATTCAGGCTGGAGTAAAGGTTTCTTCTAGCTGCTTGCCTTGATCTAGGGTTGAGAGGCAAGTCAACTTTAATTAATAAAAACCCCTAACTCCTGATGCCTAGGGGTTGCAAATCAGTTAGCAAAACCCATGGCTGTGTCTGCATGAAAAATACACCGTCTTTTGAGTTTCTTGTTTGACCTCTCTGTGAAATGTCTCAGTGCAACCTGTCTCAGGGTGTAAACTGAGCAAAAATGAGCTGAGCAATACAGTTGGCTTTCCACCTCAAAGAAGTGCTATTTCCTGAGCCAGCAGTAAAATTGGAAGGGCAGAGGACGTTGGCTTTAACATACCTGTGGCTTTTGTCATGTGGACACATGTATTTGAGATGCCTCATCAGCTTACCTGTATTTTTCAACAACAGAAAAGTAAAATAAACAGGAGAGTAAATATGTAAAGATTGGAAGTAGTGTTTTTTGTCCTGGTAGTGAGTGCCTCTAGATGGTTGCCTTGTGTTTGGGTGGTTCTTACAGGTTTGTGTCTCAGGGTGGGACCTCCCGTCCCTGGGGGTGAAGGTTTTGGAGGTCTCTGCAATTGGCCATCCTTTCTTCCCCAAAATCTTACAGAACTGAATCGATGCTTCCAGCATCTTACAAATTTAAAATACGTTGGAAAAATCACTGTAAGTTACCAGAGGGGGAACATGGATGCATTCGTGTGTGTGCCAAACGCAAGGGTGCCTGCTCCACTGGTGTCGTGCCGGGGACTTGGGGCTGCAGCTACCGGTGGAGGAACCTGGGTGGGACATCACATCCTCTGACCCCACGACACAGGCCCCTGCCTGGTGGTGTGCCTCCACTTCTCTGCGCTGGAAGAGGTGGGCAAGGGACGGGCTCATGGGGCCGGGTGGTGTTCGGGCAAGGCGGCAGTGGTAGCTGTAGAGTTGGAGTCACAGGACCCCCACCACCTGCTCAGCCAAGGAGGCCTTCATTGCCTTCAAGGAGGGTGATCTTCAGTGCGTAAGGAGAGCCCTGAGATGTTTCTCTTTTCTCAAATATTTTAGGACTGTTGACCGGCGAAGACCTCAAAATTTTAGCTGGATGCACTTCTCAGTGCCTTTGTCCTAGGGAAGTTTTCAAAGAGCTGGGAGATTACCTCTGAGAAACTAGAGATGTTGTTTCATACCTGTGAGATGCAGTCTGTGTCATAAATTTAGCTAGCAGATGTCTGTTTCCATTCCCATTGCCTTGAAATGTTTTCAACTGAGCTTTAAAAAGCTAGTATTTTCAGAAAGTCCTTAATGTCCAGCGTGACGTGTTCTTCAGATGGGTTTCAAGCATCCTTTGATGCCCTGGGAGAAATCGTGTTGGGTGTCCTTCTGAACTGTTTTGGGTAAACTCACTAGTCATTTTTAGAAATGAAGCTGTCCGGAAGTTGCTTGATTTCCACTTGGTTTACTTTTTAGTTGTTATTCCAGCCATGTGATGAAAAAGAACTCTTCTCAGGCTTGCTTTTGAAGTCTTTATTTAACTCCTGTCTGTGGCAGGAGGAAAAACCTGTGTTAAAATGACAATCGAAGTTTCACCAGGGAAGCCAATGCCGATGAGGCAACATGCACATCTGTCATTGGAGCCTGTTTCCTGACATTTGTAAGGGACTAAGAATTGGTTTACTGATTTTTTTTGGGGGGGGAAGTAATGATGTGGAGATGCTGCAAGGAGGTGTGAGCTCCTAGAAGAGCCCCTTCTGGCCATCAAACACTGATCTCCCTGCAAAAGGTGGTAGGGAAGCATGTTATGACGAGTAAGCCCTGAAGTATCTGTCTGCCACCAGGCAGAGCCAGATAGGACATGTAGAAGGCGAGAGCTTTGTTCCTGGTTTTTATAATACAGTGATATTTCCCATTCTTGCCTATTGAGCATCTTTACTGGTTTAAGGTGTTACAAGTCTCATTTTTTTCCTCCACCCATCTTTACTGCTCATGGTCCTTCATGGCTCAGCGAGCCGGTGCTTGCCGGCCGAGGGGGTTAGGGTGGGGTGGCTGGGCTGGAGGCTCGCAGGGGCCTTTGCTTCTTCTGGCATTGATGCAGGAGCCACAGAAATGCAGGGCAGAGCCACCCTCTGCAGAGCGAACGCCCTCGGAGCCCTGAGCAAGGTTCTGAGCCCGCTGTGAAAACCCAGCACAAACGGCATGGCATGCCCAGTTTGACTGAAATTCAAATGTAAGTGTGTGGTTTGTTTTGTTTTTGTTGTTTTTTTTTTTGTTTTGTTTTGTTTTGTTTTTTGGGGTTTTTTTTGTTTTTTGTTTTTTTTTTTAATAATAAAATTAAAATGAATATTTTTTCCTGATGTTGACCAGATGAATGTAGTGTCTTAGGGGTGGGCCAAGGGCATGCTGGCATGGCCATGCCCTGCAGAAGCAGCGCCCAGCCCCGTCGGGCAGGCTGGCAGCGCCTGTGGTGCCAGCCCCATCCTGCTCACCTCCTTCGGCACGGACTTGGACTGCTGCGGTTTGCCAGCTAGAAAACTAAGAGTTAGAAAATAAACATTTGGTTTTTCAGTGTAGATACATTTTTGAGTAGTACTGTAAAACTGTTCCTTATGCATCATGCCTGTGGGTTGGTTCTTACCCTGTAAAACTGTCTGCAGCTGTCAATAAGGATTTTTTTGTACTTAGTGGTAAACTTATTTTAAGTCCCAGTTATGAATTGTGTCTGTTTAGTTTGTTTGAAACTCCAGGAATTACTGACTGGGGTAATACAGCTATTTTAGCAATACATTTTCTAAATAGAGTAGTTGTTTTAGCGATACAATTTCTAAAACAACTCAACATTACACTAATGTAAAAACTTAGTTAAAAACTACTAGCGTGTGTTGTCTCAGGATTAATTATAACTTAATTTAAAGCAATGCTCATATAGAAAGATTTATCAAAAAATCATTTAAAAAAAAATATCTTTTTTGGTGGATGTTGCCACAGATGCTGGAATTTCATGTCACACATAGATTGTAGCTCATATTCCAAGGGTTTGGAAGAGTTTTTCTTGTGGATATGGGGCTCTTGGGTTGGGAAAATATTAAAGGAAGTGGTAATCATCACGCTGTAAGTACTGTATCCCCATTTGCTGGGCTTGGATATAGTCCACTGCAGTGTGGAAAGCTGACTTCAGTTGACACTGCACTGAACTTCCTAGGAATTTTTAATACTTCATGCTAAGACCAATGTATTATTGGCATTTTTCTGGATTATTGGAAAATGCTACCATGAAGTGTTGGGAAATTGAGTACCTTTGGAAAAAAAAAACAGGATTGAATTAATGCAGTCTTGTAGTATGTGGACTTTAAATACTGTGCCAGATCTCTTCTTGACTAACTTGACCAAAACAGTTTAAGATACGATATATGCATCTATCAGTTTGTATACTCCATACCTGTGCTGTGCGTGCTACATAATTTAAATTTAGTGAAAGTTTTTGTAGGGTGACAGCACCCTCTTGTGGGCAGTATAACAGCAGAGAATTTCTGTCTTTTCAAGGAGCAAGTATCAAAATCCTTTACAGGTACAGATGGCATCCCCACTCTGATCAAATGCTGGAGTGCATGTGTGTTCTTGAAGAAAGTAGCTGCTTGACTGAAATACTTTGTTGCTTTGGAATTAGCTTCTGTGATTTGCTGAACCCTTTTTTAATAGTGTATCTTCACACTGATAAAGTCACATAAATATTTTCTTATGACTAGGAGGTTATCTGTAAAAATATAGCCATCAGTTCCTGACTGAATAGCTGTGCAGCTTACATGTGTTCCTGGAAATAAAATTTCTTGTAGCATTAGTCCTTCCCATTGTCCTGTATTCTTCTTACCCTACAGCTTCCATTTCTTTCCCGCCCCACTGCTAGTAGTTGAGGGATTTTCCAGTTTTGCAGGCACCCCAGGAGAATGCAAGCTGACACCAGTAGTATCAAGAAACTGGTGTTTAAAAAGGGGATGGTAGTGTGAGGTGTTGTTTGTATGGATTAAAATCAACCACTAAAAATAAAAGTTAAGATCTAAATAAAAAAAAAAAATATAACAAGATGACAACTTTAGATTTGCTTGCAGGGTAAGTTGGCTATGATAACACAGAAGTTTATTTTAGTTTTAAGCTGTTACTGGCCAGATTTTTTGCTGACCCTTTCTGCTAGAAGATGCAGAGATTGCAGATTGTGTTCTGCTAAATAGCTGCTTGTACCTCTGGGATGTTACTCTGACTCCAAGGACTAAACATCTTCAGTCCTGGGATTTTCGGATTATTATTATTATTTTCCAACCAGGAATGTCCAGAACTGTTTCTTCCCCTCCCTTTGCTGGGATTACAAGGCAGTTGGCTCTGTGACTGTGTATATGCTGTAGGTACCATTTATTCTTACAGAATCAGATATTTGTCCCTTCTAAGGAGTTGCCATTTGTAATGCACTTAAGTTTGTAGAAGAAAAAAATACTAACTGTATTTCCTCTTTTTGCAGGTTGCAGGATCAACATGTGTCTCTAATAGTTAAAAAGGTAAGCACGCTATGTTTGCAAATATATAGAAAATTTCTTTGTATTCTGATTGATGCATTCAGATGATAACTTGGAGGAGGTAATGTATTTAAAGAGTTATTTAAAACTTCATTATTTTATATATAAGCATTATGTTTGTACACTAAATGTCTTTAAAGATTTTGGATCAGTACAGTTTGAAAATAGGTATTCCTTAACAGTATTTTCTCTAACTGCATCAAGTCAATGCACATGTTACAAAAAATTACTTAATTTTCTGACTGCAAGTTTGAATCCAATCCATATTCATCAAATAAATATGTGAAGCTGGCATGTAGGACTTGAGAGCTTGCTGAGTGTTTGAGCCAAGCTTGTTAACTGATTGTGGTGGGAAAGGAGGAAATATGTCCAGTTTAGAAGCCTGTCTCCTAACGCCAAACATCACCCTACCTGCATGGATCTTTTTTTTCTCTTTATGAAATAACTTCAAGATCTTCGAGACTTTTTTAACTCCTTTTAAAACTATTTTATATTTTTCTTCTGTTTAGCTATTGTTTTCCTTAGTACCACTGGGTAGCTGCACCTATTATCTTTTAAATTATGATGAAAATACTGATGTTACCTACTGGGAAATCTAGGCTGCTCAGTTTTCTTCTCTGAATGTTTACCATTTTTTCCTTGGAAGCACATCTTAAATACATTTCTGACAGTCATGTACATTTAAGAAGTCCTTCAGAAGAAATGTATGCTAAAAATAAGATGTTCAGTCCTCAGGGTAAGCCAGTAAGAAGCATATGGACAAAGGATACAAAACTTCATAGTAAATATATGTTCCAAAGTAGTTTACTGTAGAATAAATCTGCAAACATCATAAGCTATTTCTAATTTGGAGTTGGGCTCTAGACTTCCTTGGCCAAGGGAGCAATAGGTGTAAAATCAATTATTTATGTAATGTAACAGTAGATGGTGCTATTGGAGTGGATTTAATCACCTGAGTTGAACTGCAAGCTGAGCCATATGGTATCAGAGCCCTTGGGATTCCTGGTGCGCAGCCAGCAACTTTGTGTTTTGAGATTTGCTGTGCCAAGCAAATGCTCAGGCTGTAATTAGCCTATACAAATTCTAGCAGTTGCTAATTTATAGACATTCTTGCTCCAGTACACAAACGTTGAAGGAGAACTGCTGTTGGCCTGTAATGCCATCCTCATGCTTGCAAAATACATGAATTGCATGTGGGAGAAAAAAGAATGTAAAAGTGCTTGCAAAATACGGTGTGTGACTGTTTTCTTCAAATAGCCTATAAAGTAAGCTGATAATAGTGGCCAAACATATTAGTAAATGAGATTTGCAAGCATAGAGATTTTCATGTAATACATAGGAAAAAAAAAAAAAAAAAGGTGATATTTTTTTGTGTTCTGTAATCAAACTTTCTGTCATTTTTCTCCTTTCCCCAGTAGCTTTCCAGCTTATCTGATTTGAAGTGAGACTGATGCATACCTAAAGATATTCTAGACTATTCCTATGAGTTTTGTGAAGAGTGCTGGGTGAAGGAGTCACCTGATAAGTGCTGTGTCTGGCCGAAGGGCTGCACCATGGCCTCGAGCCTCCTGGTGCCAAGGAACCTGGATGGGAAGGGACTATAGCTGCCACAGCTACAGGGTCTCCAGGTTGAGCTCACAAGTACTTAGCCACAAAACTCCATCTGTCACAGGCCACAGATCCACAGAAACTTGGGCTGGCTTTGTTCCAGTGATCCAGGTGGTAGAGGAGAGAACTGAGAAGCTACTGAACTTTTCCATCACTCTTACTGTGCAGCTCCTGGTCTTGCTTGGTTAGTTGACCTCAGTTGTTTAGTGTCTCTGTGTTCCCAATTCAGTGATGCGGGTGAGATGGGAGTGTTCGAGATGTGTAGGTACATAACCAAATTCCCCCCTGGGAATTGCTTTTTCTTTGGAGAGAAGGCAGTCCAGTTTCCTCTGGATGCCTCAGTAGGTGTGGAATGTGTGAAATAAAAGATGTTACAGGATTTACTGTTTCCAACGTACGCGTTAAAACTGAATGCTGCGCTTTTGTTCTGTTGTGTCACGTTTGCCTCTTTGCATTCAGCTTTTAACCTGCTTTGTTGTAATCATGCAGACTTTGCAATATGTTTATGGATATTGAATATTTAATCTCATACACGTTACAGATTGCATATTTTTAATTTCCTAAAACTGTTGTTAATGTGCCAACTGCAAGTGAATGCAGTGGGTGACTAAGTTTCTCTCCCGAGTGCATTGCGTACATCCCTTATTCAGTAGTCAGGTTTTAGAGACTTTTTTCTCTATTGAAGGCCGTCATCCTTCGAGCTAAAATTATTCCAGATCTTCTTTCTGTTTCTCATATCCCAGAGTCACTTTACCTTGGGGATCAGTGGTCAGCAGAGTAGGAGCTGCTTTGGAGAGGAGAGCTACAGGGGTGTTTCTGGAAAAGTCTTTTTTTCAGTCTTTACACCAAGTCCTGTGAAGGAAATCTCTGACAGGTTAGGGCAGATAAATTAATTGTTGAAGGCAAAATCACTTTTGAACTTTCCATACCTAATGCAGCAACTCTCCCCTGAAAGGGAAGGAGAAATACACATAATGTACATCTTTCTTACCAATGGTGAAGGTTTCAACAGCTGGAAGAATTAGGGTAAAGAGCTCAGTGGTTGCACAGGCTGCATTTTTGCTTTTTACGAACTGTTCTGTTTGCTCAAAGGAGCAAAATTAATTCTTATTCCCCTGAGGAGTGTTACTTCCTTTTTTTTCTCCGTGTATCTGGTCCTTTTCCTTCAAAGCTGTGTAGATGTAGATGCATCTCCCCCCATTGTCATTTCCCCGTCGTGCACAGCTTCACGTAGATTGAAATGTCAGACTTAGCCTGAAACTGTTAATTAGTGAGGCGCAGAACAGCTAACTTAGTCTTGAATTAGGTCTGGTCAGATGGGAGAGTGCTCTGCCAGTGCGCAGCCAGTGCCGGTGCTGACACTGGAGCTCTGGGCTTCACTGGCATTTCCTTGCAGTCTGCCTAAATTTTCCCGTGGTCACGTAGACCCATTGGGATGTAGCATTGAAGAGCCTGGTGTCAGACTATCGTCACTTTTAAATGAAGCTATTTCTGGTTTCCATGAAGGGAGAAATGTTGCTGTGTTAATCCAGAGCATGCCTCTGGTCATTCAGCCCAAGTGGGCAGTATTTAGTAAAAGAAGGAGAGATGCTGGAAGCACAAGAAAATGCCTGACCTTGTATCTGCTGCAAAGGAAGATCACACCTTATTGACCTGGGGAAAACTAATTTGGGGAGTTGGTGTTAGATGGTGATGGGATTCATTTCCTCCTGGGCTTCCTGATGGTAATGAACAAGTGGTAGCACGACCATGGTATTGATGTCTTGTTCCACCATGGCAAGTTGTTCTTTTTAAATTGTGTAAACTGGCATAAATGGTCCTGCTGATATTTCTTCATCCTCAGTGAAGTAGTGTCCATTAACATAGATGCTGAAGTAGAACTTCACCTCCTCTGAAGTGGGGAAGTTTGCAGCCCTTAGCGCTTAAGTTTCCTGCAGAAATAATCTTGGTCAACAAATTAACTCAGTCTCAGAAGCTTTCTGTCACAGACTGGAGGTGAAAAAGCTAGAGCCTGGCATCTGGGGAACGAGTGCCAGCAGAGGGAGGAGGAAGTGGAGAGGCAGGGCTCCTTGTCAGCAGGTCATCTCAGTCCCAGTGGTGATCTTGAGTGTCTTGGTTTTGGTTAGTGAAGTGCTACTAATTTAAGATGCCAGTGGCAATGTTTTTCCAAAAACGCCGGCTTGGCTAGTTGTCAAATTATGATGGCCCATGTAAGTCATCTACTAGAGTTTACCCAGATTTGATCATGTTCTGTCTTCCAAAGAGTCAAGGCCTGCTATACTGAGAAATGAAGGTCTGAGAGCAGGTGGTGGTGACTTGTCAGAAGTCTTCTCAGTGTAGTAACACACTGAAGAAGCTGGTGGAGCTTGCACCTGCAAACATCCCCTGCTAGAAGATGGTTTTTGTCCTGTGAGGTTTAATTTGCAAGCAGGATTGAAGGATAGCTACAACCCCCTGTCTGCTGCCGATCCATGAGACCCACAGGATCCACAGGATCAACATGTGTTTGGTTGGTTGCTCAAACTGGGGGAACGGGATAATTTCTCATTATCCCATAATGTCACATGTTGCTTTATTGTTTAGAAAGGGTCTGGAAAATGCTACAGTTAATGTTGACATTGGGACGTCTCTTGGTCAGACCTGGCATAAAAACCCTCATGTGGAAAATGTGTGACTAAAACGTCGCTCTCTAAGATTTGTGTATGTGTGTATTCCTGCTATTCACAAATATATTTTGTGCAGTTCTAGGCAATGTATGAAGTACATACCTGAGAACATGAGAAACAATTATAAAGGGTGCTGAAGGCGTCTTGGTTTCATGCACTAGGATGTATAAGTGTTTCCTTGCTTATGTCTCTTCTTGTTAGTGAGGTATGTGTAAGGCTGAAGCCACGCCAAAGAACTGCCTTCCTTTTTGAATAATAAAATAAAACCAATTTCTGCCTTTCCACACCCAGCAGTGAGTGTGTCTTCGTTACTGTCCTTCCCTGCCCCTTTCACTTCCCGAAGGGTTAAATTGTCACACGTGCCTCTCGCGGCAGGTAGGGATGAGCTGCAGCATTTGCTCATCTTTGTTGATCGGACTGTGCGTCGGCGGGTCCTACGGCTGGAGGAGCGGGCCTCGGCTGGGCGAGGAGAGCGCACGGCGAGGCAGGGGTGACCCTCCTCTTGGCAGTGGTCGCTGGCTCCTTAGGAGGGGGCGAGCGGGGGGGCCGCGGTGGTGCTGGACTGCAGGTGTGTGCGTGGCATCTCTTCCAGCCGCGGCGCTCGGCATGGGGACCCTCTTCACCGCGGTCCGGCGGCCCTGTAAACGGAGGAGGAAGAAACGATCGGAGCGGAGAGGTAGTGTTTTCTTTGCTGCACAGTTCAAACAA